AGTATATATTTTGTTATATTTTATTTATGTACAGTACAGGACAGCTATAGCATTGAAACACATCCTATTACAGCATACAGCGCTGGTAAAGGACTTGGACATTCCATCCAGCACCTGCTCGCAATCCTCCCACGCCACGTCTTTGATTTAAGCTATATTATGCTTGACCCTGTCTCCTGAAGTATGTGGAAGCACTTGGCATGCTTGGCCAAGAGTCTGGCCAAGATCATCACGAGAACCATGTGCATCTTCTGGGCCGCCTGATTCGCCAGCATAGCTGTGAGTGAAATGCCCATGGCTGCTGTCACCTTCTCGGCGTACGGTGATGTAGTGATCTCGATGTACGATCTTCACAGCGCACGCCCTTTGACGCAAATAGCCTTGACATGATCAGCCAGCACTGCTGGGAAAACAACATGGCATTGCCTTTTTTATGATATTGGCTAGTGGTCCAAAGGCACCTATTTCATCACCCTCGGAAGGCTGCTGGCAAATGAAACTGTCCAAAAGCACGGTAGGCATGGCAAGCAAACATGCCCCTTGACACTGTACACCCCACTGGGAGGGCTCCCGTCGCTACCGGTACAATCTACGTAATTCATCTCATCTCATAATCACAGAACAACCGCAAGGGAATGCATTCAAACAAAAATAATAAGCCGTTCAAAAACACTAAACAGCATACATGTCAAAACAATCCCAGGAACAACAATAACGCTGATGTCTGACTGTCCATGCGTCCTGCCAGTTTTCGAAGCCCTGGTCACAGTCATAGGTCGGAGCAGATATAGGAGACACAGGGGCAGTCCTTAAAGCAAAACAAACCGTTCAATGGACTTCACCAGCCAGGTTTCCAACCTCAATAAAATAGCCTAAAGTGTTCAGAGTCAGCATTCAACCAGTCTCGGTATCAGGAGTTGTTTTTCCGACCCCAAACCTAGCAGCACCAAGCATCCCAGTGTGCTCGAAGAGCTTGGTTTGTGCTGGGCATCCAATGTGGGCTTTCTCACAGCACAGGGCTCTTTGAGATGGATTCCAAAACCTGAGCTGGACAGCTGGATCAATAGAACGCCTCAACATGGTCTGAAGGGTCTCCCCAAAAGAAGGCCATTCCTTCCATCACCATCACAGGTTGGCTTGAATTCGGTAGAAACTCAGTCGAGTATGAACGAGTACTGTATCGGTAATTATGACATAAATATAATGTATATATTACATGTGTAAATATAGATTTATTATCATGAAAAGTGCTGAGTTCTATCATCTACAGGAAAAAACTTCTGGAAAGCTGGCGCCGACCCAATCTAAACACTCCAGTACACATCTTGACTTAGAAAGCAAAAACATCACCATGCGTAATAGGCAAGCTGTGGCCAGCACGACTCGTGCAAACATCGCGCTCCAAACAGGCTACTCATGCAGCTCAGCTGCTCACCGCTATCACGCCTCGCTATCTTATTACATCTTATTGCCGTAGTTCCACGGAAACAGAATGCGCGGCCGAGATCATTCTGCCGACACTTGAAATGGGGGCGAGCACGCAGCACTGGATTTGGCTGACAAAGTATCTGTGCTGGTGTCACTCCTGCCAACAGGGAGCTGCAAATGACCGGCGTCGTGGCAATCTACTCCTAATTGGTGAGCATCAGACTGGCGATGGTCCTGGGCGAAACGGAGAAAACAAATGCACAGTGCCATCCATTAAGGGTCCCTTTTGATAACGCTCAGTTGGTCTTGCCAACCTCAAACCTCGCCGCTTTTCATGGAAGAGCGCAGCAGGCCCCGGAATGCCTACTCTTTATCTTCGAAGCTGGGCTCCCCAGCCATCAGTGATGCGAGAATAGATGTGAGGGCAGCAGTGGCAACCTTGGGGACTCACTTCGAGGTGACTGTTGCGCCCCCGATCAAAGTTTACCACCCAGTCTTCCTAGCTCATAACACAATTTCTGACCTCAAATCAGTTTCCCTCACTTGAGCACTCTGTGCCAAAACCATCAAAAACACTTCACAGTTTACAATTATGTTTATATATATTATATAACATCCTTAACTTCCATCCAGCCTTGAGGCAGGAACTAGGAAGGGCTCACATCAAACATTTCAGACATCTGGACATCCCATTGAGGACCTTGAACTCATTGTACTAAACTCTATGAGCCTCCTTCGTGCGCATCTTCCCATCATTCCTGGACCCATTACACACCCTCCAGGCAATAAAACTAGTTTACACAACTTTGATGATGGTGATACTCTCTGAAGAATCCAAGGGGCTACTGCCAGGAGGCTCCCCAGTATGATCACCCAGTACCACCTTGCAACTTGATATGCAATGTGCGTATGACAAACATAGTTTAGTTTAATCGCATGTATGGAACTAAAATTTGAGCAAGTTGTGACTGGTGCAGGTTCTCACGCTCACCGAAGTCCATGTCATACATTTAAGAATGTAGTGCACTGTGAAGTGGCATGATTTGCCGCAGGGTATGGGCCCTGCCTCACTCGGTAGCCGTCAATGTGTGTTTCATGCTGCACCTCGTAGTTGCCGCGACCTTGACCCACAAACTCCATCTTGTTGACCTCCCAAGGCAGAATCCACAATAAAGTTGATGTAAGTTGATCTTCAAGGGCCAGTGTCGCAAAGCAGGTTGAACTATTACTATAAAACAAGCATTACAGCCATTGAAGAAGCACAATAAAGCGGCAAATAAAAGGCGAACAATGGCAAACGATTCCAAGCGATTTTTGAACCTATCTGGACCTGGATGAGCTGTCCAGAACCAGAACGTCAGTACTTACACAGAAGGGAATCCACACCACTAAACTCGAAGCTACTCGAATAACATCAAATAACTCCGCCATCCTTGACTCGCCTGGTTGAAATCACCGTGGCCACGCCCCACATAGTGATATTCGGGTGCCGGAGGAGGTCCCGGGTTGCCGAGGAACGACTGGCCAAGAGAATCAAGCCCACTGAGCTTTGCTTTACTTTGTTGCTTTTGGTGCTGTGGCATTGCATCTTGCTCTGCTGTTGGTCTCTCGACATTCTGCAGTCATTCTTGTCCAATGGAATGTCAAATCCAATGCACTGCCAAATGTGGCTTGGAGACTGATTCAGATGTGCCACTTGCTCCACTCTCAGCAATTTGTGGTTTACTATTGTTTAATAGCTTCGCAGCCCCCTATCCAGAAACAAAGCATTGGATGTGGATTCTGAATTTAAAAAGTTGTTCAACCTACCAGCCGACAATTTGAAAGCTATAAACATATATATATATAACTAAATAACTTACAACTATATATGAACAAGAAGCTACTAGGGGCTCCTGGCATCGCTATATACTAGGAACAAGAAGCTACTAGGGGCTCCTCGCCTTACTACGAAGAGCAAGGACGCTACTAGGGGCTCCTGGCATCGCTACGACTACTCCTTGCCACGCCGGAGTAACATCACAACAGCGGCACCTCGGTGCAATCACATTCGCCCTCCTCGTCTGGTAGTTGGACCAGCTCACGCCCGTTTCGTGGATGCCCCATGGCCGAACAAGTCTGGGAAGCATCCGCGCTGGAATGGCTGCAGCTTTTCATGGCCCCCTCAAGTGAAATGGGAACACCCGCGTGGTACAGTACATGGCTGTCAGCCCCAGCTCCCAGAAAATAGAACAGCTATTTTGCATACGGCCAGCTATTGAATTTTACAATGTTACAACCCAGACTGGTCCCCACCCAGCCTCATGTTATCTCATGTTCATTGGCGGATGAGGTCCCACACAGTGTCCCACACATGTCAAGGGTTGGGTCCCCATCAGGTCGATGAGGTCGCCGGGTATGTTGCTCTTCGATGGAACTTCATGGAATGAGGTCTTCAAAGGCTCAACTATTTTGACTGGCGCAGCGCAATAGATGTCTCCGTTCAAGCTTGCCCTGTGACAGTCTTCTGGGAGCATAACATCGTCTGCTCGAGTGGCCCCTTCTTTGGAAGCGCGGCAGTTCCAAATCATGTTCACTATGCTTGCGTCCAAGCGACAGGCACAATATAGGCTGTGCTTCTTGACCCAATCTAACCCCAAGCAATCTTGAACTGGCCGGGCCCAAGTCTCAGTCAAGTGTCAACGATGACCTAAACCCGCCATGCCAAAAACAACTCAGCATTCACAAAACAAAAAGCCAACATTTATCAAATTGTGACCGACTGTGACCCAAGTGGTCAGGGTGTCATGAGCCAGCAATTGCTCAAAAGTCATGCAAGCATATGCTAAACGAATCTATGGGCGCCTCGTCTGCTTGATGCACCAAGATCAAGTGCGCAATGCTGGTGCATTCTCATAGAACAGCAAAGCGATGAAAGCATATACAAAGCCTGGCGCAAGTATGGAAATGAGCAACTGGAAAGGGTGCTGGAAATGTGGCAGAGTCATTGTTACTCATGCAATCCGGTGTTGCTCTCACGTGTAAGAACTACAGTATTTATGTTTTGCCATGCTTCTGTCATACCCGCATCTCTGGTCGATTGTCGCGAGGCCCTTCCCGCAGAATTTGGTACTCCATGTGCAGCAACTTGGAATCTATAGCCCATCATTGCTCTCTCACAGGCTGTGACAGCTGCGCTGAAAACAATAGTGCTGCAGTGAAGGCGTTCCAAGCCTCAGTCTCAGCTAGGGAGAGGCAGGAAGCGGTGGGTTGAATGCTGAATGCTCACATGCTGAGGGCTCACATGAAAACCATCTATGCCCTTCTTCATTACATGAAGCAAAGGGCGTCTGTAGCGGTTGCCCGCTCCAATTTCTGGTAGCTGGTAGTTAGCGTTTTGGCGTCAGCCTTCGGCAGCATTCCCAAGGTTCCGCACCCCAAAGAAGGAGAAGCCCCCATTGCCAGTCAGAGGCACTGATCAAGGCTGCCTCCCCACAGGGGATGACGGTGGTTCTTCGGACGAGCTATTGAGAATGGTCTCTTGGATCTTTGCTTGCAACTCGCTTCGCAACAAGAAGAATGAAGTCAGCTGCCTGGTAGCTCTCATCAGCTCCAGCCCTGAGGGGTGGGTGAGGATTGAAGCGACACAAAACACTTCGAGGACTTTGGATGCAGCCTTAGTTACTTAAATAGTTCGGCTTGCATTGTCTTGAACCGTGACCGATCTATATACTATTATGTATGTTATGTGTTGCGTCCAAACATGACCAGGCCTGGATTGCGGCGGCAGGAACTAACTACTCGGCTTAAGGACTTGACCTGCCTTTGATCATTCAATGCCATCTGCCATTGAAGGCTGCGCGCGTAAGCCGTAGTCAACGCTGCATCAGACTGCAGTAGGCGGGAAAGTGCGAGCGCAAAGTGTCAGCAAATGTGTTTCTTCCTCTGATTATTTGTGGCTCAAATGCAAGCACGCCTGAAAGCAGCTAATCCTCTGTGATCTTCTCCTCAGGACACTTGACTGAGGCATCTCTCTTCCAAGGTTTGACCAGGCTTACCGCAAACTCATCAACAGTAGCTGACCGCTTAGCGCGTGCATCTTCAGAAACTACATGAGGGCATCAAGCTCTAGCCCATCTTTAGTTTGACATCATCGCTCCATGATCAAAGTGGTGCTAATGCTACTGAAGGCGCATCAGCACAGCCTTTTGCCATGGTAGGCCTTTTGCACCTTGGAGGAGCTAATGAGATCGCTCTACGCTTTTGTTTCCACGTGCGGTTGACTTTGTACAGTCAGCATCCCACTTAGTCACACAAGTTCTCACATTGATTCGTGAATAGAGCTAAACATAAACAAGTAGTTGACGCAAGGGTTCTGACTTAACCCAATTCTTTCGCCAGCTGTAGGCATGTGCTGTATTTTTGCCAATTTTTGCTGCACACTTTACTCAAAGGAGGTTGTTGGCCGGTAAGTGAAAAACATTGAAACGCTACAGTATCCCATGGGTAGTTGGATCGCCTGCATACCCCCATTGTAACACTTTTGGCAACACAGATCTGGACAATGGTGCTCAAGGTGCCACACCAGTCCAGGAGAAATTGGAAGCCGGGCAGCTTTGCAATTGTTGCTTGTAAAATCTTGTGAGCTACTTTCAGTAGTTCAATCATTCCACAACGTTTGGCAAGTTGCTGATGGCAGCACTGAAGCTGATGGTGTTGGGCAGAACCTGTCGCATTCAACATCTTTGTGCTAGCTGCATGCAGCTGCATGCTGCGGGCCCTCTATCTGATGCGTTTTGAGCGAGCATTTCCTTCAGGGCACTAACCTGCCCAACCTGCACAAGTCAACTGAAGGGGCCGCCGCCAAATGAGCTAGAAAGCAAGTCAAAATCGGACGCCGCCATACACTAGAATATGGGAATTTCAGTGTTGACGAGACGGAGTGAAATGTCATGCTAACAGCAGCCAACCAACAAAAGCAAACCCTCCACGTTTCTGCGAGTGGCAAACCTCCTTGAAACCCTAGCTAAGTCCAGCCTATTTGTGACTTTACCTCAGTACACATCTTCCTCATTGAGCTCCAACCCCTCTATAGTGCGCTACCTGAAGAAATATTCTTGGAGCCTGGAGCCTGGAATCACGTCGTGTTTGTCATTGTAGTGCCTGCTTAGGCAGCATCTCATCCAGCAGCTGAACAGCAAGCCTGAGACATTCTCACTAGATGTATAATCACAAAAGCCAATCCCTATTGACTAGTGGATCCAAGAACTCTGTTATAGCACCGTGCTGTATTTAGGAAGATATTAAGACAATTTATTGAATGGAAGATCCATTTTTCGAGGAAAATCCAGGCAACAGCAAATGGAAGAAATCCCCTGTAGCATAAAGTAGGTGTTCAATTTCTTCCATTTGTACTAAAGGCTTGCTCTGTCATTAGAAAAAACTGAGAGAAATGGCAGGGAGAGAGTGTTTTTTCCACGTCGCCTGATCTGAAGAGGAGAATAACCTAATACTCTCCGAAACCTTTATTGGTTGTTAGATTGTTTTTCCTTTTTTTGCTTCCTGGTCGTATTTCTTCCATTTGGTTTCTAATCTTCACCTCTGATCAGTAAATCCTTTTCCTGTTCCTTGTCTTCTTCTTCCCCGCTTCCTCGTCTTTTTCCTCTTTCTTTTCTTTTTCTTCTTCCCCTTCCTCTTCCTTTTCTTTTTCCCCTTCCTCTTCCTTTTGCTCTTCCTCTTCCTCTTCCTTTGTGTTTTCCTTTTCCCTTCCTCTTCCTTTTCCTCTTCCTCTTCTCTTCCTTTTCTTGTTCCTTGTCCTCTTCCTCTTCCTTCCTCTCTTCCTTTTCCTTTTCCACTTCCTGTTCTTTTTGCTCTTCCTCTTCCTTTTCCTTTTCCCCTTCCTCTTCTCTTCCTGTTCCTTGTCCTCTTCCTTTTCCTTCTCCTCCTCTTCCT